GAGTTTCTGTGGATTTGTTTCTCTAAAGTACCCAGACTAACACAGCAGGGAAACAAACAACCAAAAAAAGACAAAGGTAATGGGGGAACCCACAGGGAGGTATTGTTTATATATCCACAGGAAAGGGAGAGAGGGACCAGACCTCATCCCAGTGCACCAACTCTTGAGGGCAACCTACCAGCACTGAGCAGCCAACTTATCGAGAGCACTGTGGGATCGGCCCCAATCCCAGCTACATGGACCCTCTCCCCACAAGAATGCACAACAGAAGACATCACTGAAGATGTAGCCCAGGAAGAGTGGCAGGTCTGCGCAGACCGCACAGAAGTAAACCAAGAGGGAAAGAGAGAGAGGGAATGGACTGCAACCTGGCCACCAAGCCTTGAAGACGATATCTCTGTCTTGCTCGGAGTAGCCAATGCACAGAGAGGACCGTAGGGCGGGCCCCACCACGAGACACAATGACCCCTGACACACAACATGATGGGAAACAGCACTGGGGACACACTTCAGGAATTGTGACTTGGCTGACCTTCCCACTGGGGTGGAACATGAAGCTAATGCAAAGGAGTGGCGCTCGGAGCAAAGCAACAACGTCCTCGAGGAATCACAGAAACAGGCTTCTGACTCAGGGGGCAGGGCTTGGCACCTCATCAGAACCAATCGGAAAACATTCTTAAGGGTCAGCAGACAGACCCGGAACTATTTATAGACTTTTTTTTTCATGTCTATCTATATAAGATAGACAGAATTGTTTACAGTCCCAAGGAGAAAAGAAGACTGACAGTTCTGGGGGGACATGGGTGGGGGGAAGGGAGGAGGAGCCAACAAACCCAGGGACAAGGGAACATCAAGAGATCTAAAACTGTTGGTGAAAAGGGCTTAGAATGCCTACTGGGGGTTGATCAACTGCAGTGTAGCCGAGAGCATTTACTGAGAGCCGAATGAAGGTCAAACATGATCGTGGGCCAGGAGGAAAGTAAAAGGAAATAGAGGAAAGAATTAGGAGGCCAAAAACAGTTATAGAGGTATAAATGCATGCATGTATTTATGTAAATATATTCATATATAATGATAGGGATATAGGTCGATGTAAATATATTTAAGTATTAAAGTAGCAGACAGACAATGAACCTCTACTCAAGTCCTCCTTCAATG